ACAGTGGTCAGGCAGATCAGTCGGTAGTTATCCACTTTGCTTGCTTTACCACCTTTCGGTATTGGCTTCACGACTGAGCATTTCCAATCGCCCGGTAATAGTCCAGTAGATAGTGATCTGCTGAACAGCACAGGTATCGAAGGCACCATGATGGCTTATAGGAACTTGTAGATCAGTGGGTGGATTCCATCTAGCCCGGCAGGCTTCGTCCCATCAAGATTTGCTAGAAGCTTGCGTACATCTTCAATACTGCAGTCTAGGCTGTAAAGTTCAACGGGAGCGGTACTCGTCGAACTCGTTACAGGCACCTGGTCACTTGCAAATACGGAGGCGAAGTGCGCCGCCAATGCAGACGCACGATCTGTACTCAAGGTTAGGGGATTTCCATCGGAGCCTTCTAACATTGGGACAATGGCTGCAGGCCTCAGGCGCCGCTTCCCGTATGCGAAGATTCTCTTGGAAGCAGTTGTTGCGGCGGCTGCAAGTTGATCTTCGAAGCTTCTGCGTTTTCTTTTTTTCGCGTTGTGGAAGCGATTTCGTTGCACCTTGTACGCCTTGTCGTTCTCATCGGAGCCAGATAACGCGAATCTGTTCCAAAATTTGTCCAAATAGACCCTAGGCTCATAGGACTGGCTTCATCCGGCGTATTCTCACAGGATCGGCGAAAAAAGGAGGCTGGGATTAGAGTGATGTTGCACGATTGTGAATGCTGTTGCCCGTTTTATCGTGATGCATGGCGTGTAGGTGGTTACCTATTCAAGAAGATGGCATCTTGTGCAAGCACCAAGATTCAGGGGACAGGGTTACTGGTCAATTTCACGTTTAACCCATTTTGGCACGTGTTTCTTTATTCTGAATTTCAAATAACGATCGGTTCTGCCCATGTAACCGGTTACGCATTTACACACGAATTGGTATATGCAGTGGGAAGTGACTCCGATTTGCCGAGCTTCCTCCGTTGGGGGCCCCGTCAAATTACGAGTTGGGTTGATGCCCACAACTTGAGCATCATAGTGAATTTTCCGTATAACAAAACCTACATTTTTGGTGGCCTTCAGTATAGAAACTACCCTTGAACGGCAACTCAATATAGAAGAACCGTTCACTCTTCCTTGGGTGACCCCACTAGTTATTTATCGTGCAGAAGGGCGGTACTCACCTGTAGTTAATATCTAGTGCAATCAATCATGTCTGACATAGTCCACCTATGGAAGATTATCGCTTTACGACCGCTTTTGTGGTAATTGGTCGAACAGTTCTTACATATTTAGAAATTTATTTATTAGTATACTGTTTGAATCGCTAAATTCTTACGTGTACTTCAGACAATGGAATTAATATTTGGTCAGCCATCGCTTCCATGAAAGCCACGCTGCGGTTCTTCTATCAGATTCAGATGGAAGACAATTTTCATCATGCTTTTTTGCTCATTTTTAGAAGTGACTGAGAGATTATTGGAGATAACAACATTTGGCTTATGACCTCCCTTTGGCGGAGGCATGATAAGGGACATTTCTACTGGCGTGTTTTCAGAGATTGGGTAAACATGTTCATCAGGTGCGGTAGCATGTCAGACCTTCTAGTTTGTTGGTTGCTGTTGGTTTGCCGTCAGCTCCCACATTAAATGCTATCATAACTTAATTAATAACTTTTTAGACTAAGCTGAGCAAAAGCTCATTTCTGCTTAAGAATTTTGTTGCTGCAATATAATTGTGCGCAGGTACATGCTCAGTAGTGTGGCTCATGAAAATGAGAAGGAGGTCACTGAATGCATCACATGTCGTAGCTAGGTCACACAGTACGTGGCCCACAAGGTATATAATTTCTGTAAGCACGTGACTGTGAGCATGGGTTATACAAGTTGGTATTTTGACAACTTCACTGGGTTTACAGCATTTCTTGGAGCTATATGTTTTACATTTTTCGCCACCTAAACTGTGTATGTTGAACTTTGTGAGAAACTTGTGCATGGTAAGACAAGTAAAAGTCATCTGTATTTCTGAATCTTGGAGATATATTTCTGGATGTTTGGTTATTTGTGTTTTTTGGCGACTTTGAAGACATGAGGGATGCGTTACACTGCGGAGCAAGTATGGCTGTAGCGCGATGTATCTGATAATAAAATAGCCGGACAGCAGAGTATACACTGGCAAAGAAGTTTATATCTCAGCTAGAAAAACGAATAATTTGTTCATTGCATTCCCCGCCTTGGTGTTCAAGCAAGTGTATTGCCTATTTTAACATGAAAACGAAGTCGTATCATATTACGGTCGCGGTCAAGTAGGCTATCTAATTTCGCAGGATGTGCGTCAGGGATTCCGTATGTAAATATCAAGTCTAATATATTGACTGACTTGGTTGGACACAACCCATTTTATCCAACCGCCTGCTATAATGAACGAAGGAATACTTGCATGCAAAAGCGACAATGGTTGAGATGACCAGCGGGTTTCACGTCAGTCGAAATCACAAGCAGTTATATTCATTAACTTTGGCAACCTTGTTGCAAATTCAAAAGAATCAGTGATGTTCGCAATGCTCACGTTAGACGCATTCGGTTAGTTGTATATAATGGCAAGCATTATGCAAGAGAAGGCACCTGTAACTGCAAGCCAAATCGACCCAGGGTGATTTTATAAATTCATGTGGTCTTTACATTACACTGTAAATGTTCTATGTATGTAATTGATAAACCCGCTAACTTTCCTGGTTCTACGATCTTTTTGAAACACGTCGTGCGTTGGAATCGTCAGAGTACGGTCACACTCATCTGATGCTTTCATGATGCGGAGTTGTTATGGGTCACTGCAGTGCGCATTTGTGTTTAAAATTGAATATTGTAAATTATGGATCTGGCATTAAACCGAGTCACTAGAAACAGATTGTGTTGTTGAATTGTCGCAGTGATTTGCAGGATCGCCCGATTATGTGAGTTTTAGTATGATACAAATACTAGGTACTTGCGAGAGTGGTGTGATTGTGTCAGCCGCTAATAAGTTTGAGTGTTAGGTCAGTTTGTCACGTCCAAATTTCGAGGAAGTCAGGGGCAAAAATGGAGACTAGCTAAAATATTCAGACTACTGTGGGCTTAGCGTTGGACTAAATCTGAAATTTAGACAAACTGGAGGAAGAGCGGTAGAAAATAGTTAACCTCCACCGGACGTATCTGGCCGAGAATGGGTGCCAGTCCAATATACACTACCGTTAAAAAGTGATTGACGGTACGGACGTATGTGAAGTTGTAATAACATGGGGCGAGTTAGTGGGTATAATTGTCCTGTTGACCTATTTTCTTTCGGCAGCTCTATACTTCCAATATTTGTTGTACATTTTGAGATGACAACTAAGCGTAGCCAAGAGGCACTCGTTAGTGTTTTATTAAAATATACACTTGCTTTTGCGATGAATGTAAGAAACTCGTCGATAGGGAATTTGGGTGCCACCGAATATTTTATAGCCATATGCCTTTTAAAGACACTGGTTCTGGAATTGTTTACATCCGCTGTGGACGACCGTTAGCTAGCTATTGTTGGATGTGCACTGTGAGACAGCGAACCAGGTACTATTGTTTCCATGATTCAAGCTTTCAGATTTTAATATCAGCCTTAAGCATGACAAATTCAACATAATGGGAGTACAGCTATCGCTAATAAGAGAATATGCTTTATCCTTTTGTTGCGCCGTTGACGTTTCGGTAGAGCAAGGAACGAGGATATTAGAGCTTGTTGCCGCTCTAGATGAATATTTTACATTGACTACTGCTGTTATTGTGTAAAATTAGTTATTAACTAACATTAGCATGTGACTAAACTTTGCAGCCAAAATCTACAACGGAGATCGAAAACCAACGTCCATATCTTAAGGGATCTGTTGTCCCGTAAAGGTGACAAAGGCATGTCAGTGTTTAAGCTGGGATATAACATCGATGCCTTCGCTGAAGCAATGTAATGGGGAAAAATAGATAATTATGGTTCTTTTATAGTTATGTGCTCTACAGGAGCCTAGACAACATATGCATATCTGTTTTAACGTTATTAGTATGCAACTAGAGCAACTAGAGACGTTTACCGTCTGTCAGGAAATATACGATTTTATTTTTGATTATTTATTTATTTTAAGGGTTCCTCGTATATATTCCAGAAACTGTGCGGTACCTGGTAGAATTTTGTAATGATTGCGCCTTTGGTGCAGGCATTCGGGTTTAAAACTGGTATGAAGCGAACTGTTGCTTAAATAGTTAAACACACAGGTTCCTTTACGATATGCTTTTGAATGTAGTATCACAAATAATTAGCCCCCATTTTCTCTAACATAACTCTATTCTTTTTGACCACTTTACCATATTTGCATGACTTTATCTATTTGAAAATGATTTGGAGATTTTGTTCAGTAATTTTTTTCTAACTCCGTCTATTTTACACAATTTGGAACTCTTGAACATATAATTTAGTCTGCTTAATTGAAAATCTATTCCTCTTGGAAATTTTAACAATAGAACTCGGTTGGTAGAGAATTGATCACACCAGTTATTCTGTCAAATATAGGGAGGAGATATGTTGAGGATAACTTGTAAGTATGACACAATCCTTGGCATTCGATGTGTAGTGCCATTAACTCTGGTTACTCTATTGTGCTGGTAGCAAATTAAGCAGTATGAAACCAAGCCGATGGCACACACACGCACTCCAACGGTTATTCACTCAGTACGAGTATTCTAAATGTTAACACCAAAGCTACTTTATGTTTGTGTGATGAGCAAGCAGTTATTGAACTAGTGAAGGAGGACCTGTCTAACAGTCCGGCTGTTGTTATTGTATTCACTAGCAAGACCAAAAATCTGTTACGAAAAACATGAAAGCGTTGGAGAATCGATTTAAACCGGAAAAAGGCAAATGTATGACTAGTCTGAGAGGATTTTTGAACGGCATTATAACTCGGTTTGACCGAGTATAAGAATTCATACAAACATTATATCAGTATAAATGCAATTTACTGCTTACCATATTCAAGGATCCTTTCCAAACACATTGATACCAAACCTACAATAAAAAGTGATAACTGATTTTCAGGAAGTCCACTGCTAAAACCAGTTGACCAAGCGATGTGAAGTTCACATGATATTCGAGTTACAATCATAATTCTTCTTCCGCCTAAAAGATGCATTGAGATGCAATCTTGTGCTGCTTTTACTGACAAATCAACTGGTCGAACATTATATTTATTGAAAAGGATTGACGACCAAGCCCCTAATAGATGAAAGTATATACGTATCAAATGCATTGTACTTTGGAACAAAGGATGAAAGAGACTAACAAACGTCGAAAAGTAGCGTTGATTGCACAGGTTTCGTGAAAAAGAAAATTCCACTCCACTAATTTTCCGAAATATATCAGTTTGGCTTGCTATGTATTCTACACCTTCCCTCATTGTGTTTGATTTAGCAAACATCTGTGTAAATGTACCGGCTTTTAGTAAAACCTAAATGCTATATTGAGGTACTTATGTGATAAAACTAACAACATAAATTGTGTACTGATGGTAAAAAAAAGTACGCTGTAAAATTACCTGCTCAATAAATTGTCACAACTAGCCTACTTGTTTTAGCTTCGAAAATCAAATGTCCGCCATCCTCCTCTGCTTTGTTTGTAATCTTCCACAAAAGAAGGGGATTAGTTATAACGGCAACTTTGTCAGCAACAATCAACAAAAAATGCTGTTGGCTTGAGATAAACACACAAGTTTCCCTTTCGCTCAATGACAGTGACTTCCGTTTAACTTTCCACGACCAGCAAACTTTATGTGCTCGTGGCCTCTGCTTTCACCTCTCGTACTAACAATTCAGAGTACCAATTTGGAATTAGAAAATTTCGACTCACATGTTGACATCGCCTCTCTTTTTGTTCCTGCAACACGGAACACAGTAAAATGAATCCACATCGTTCGGTGTCGAAAACACCAAATAGGAGAAAGTTGGTTTCGTTAAACCACTCCACGTGTGTAAGGACGAAATTGCTGAAGGGAAAAATGATTGGATGATTGACAAGAAAATCAATGTAAGCGGAGAAGTTGCATCAGTGAAATTACAAGAAACGTCGCAAATCATGTATAACTGATTGTTGGTAAACGGAAAGTCAGATTACAAAGTTGATGTGCGCCATGTGTGGTCGAGAAACATTGTTATACGGATAATAAACCAATGTGATACAACACACTCAACGCGTTTTGATAAATAAACCTTAAACCATGACACCTGATCGCTCCCACTTATGGGGCCGTGAATCGTCTGTCGGTAAATATACAATTTAATTTATTCATATTTTAAGCTAAGCGCAATCTGAAAAGTTGCCTTAACATGTCCAGTTATCGCCTGCTCCAGGATTCATTTTATACTCCGACCATGTGTGGAATATATTGTGTTGCTGGTGTACACACCTTTAATAAACTACGCAAATGTGACTTACTTCGTTTCATTTAACGTATTGGATTCATTTGGGATTTGTGCAACCAGGGTGCTCAGCGTTGTCCAATTGAATGAAATCTTCAGGTTACCCGAAAAATCCATTAAGATGATCTTGACCCTAGGCACTCGAAGTGGTTTACTCAGTGGCCGATACTAGAGGGGTGGAAACATCCCAAAGTTCTGTATGTCTTATGCAAGTCTCAACTGAGCCAATTGCATCTTAGTACATTTGCTTTCAAAATAACGGTTTTACTAATTATATATTCAAGCAATATTTATAGGATGGCTGGTCAAATTTTGTAATTAGGGAGTAAATTAAATGGGTACATTGAATGTTGGTAACAACACTTAACACAAAAAATTGTAAACACAAAAGAGCTGGGTGTTGCATATCATGTTCTTCAATAAACATTATTTAAGATGTTATATAGGATAGCTAGTACTTCTATAAAATTTGCTGGCAAGTTTTGATAACATCAATATATGTATTCAAACTTAGGGATTCAGTCTTTTTCTGACGGCGTTTTTGTTAAGCCTATACCTTTACTACACTTTAATATAAAGAATGACAAGGAATTTTGCATTTTATGATGGAATTATTTGCAGTCAGACCCAATCTAAAGACCAATGCGTATAGGGGGAAAAGTGAGCGCACGTTCGGCCCTCACTATATTCCTCAGCGTTAGATATGAATGTGCATTTTGTAGGACTAGACTCCACTAAACTAATCGTCATAAGCATGACGGAGACAGCCAATGTCTTCTGAATCTACCAACCACTACCGTATCAGTCTTCTGATTATACTGATCGCATTAACTATTTAGTTGCCAAACGTAAAGAAGTCGATTCACAGTGGGATGCTGCTCTGTCCTTTGCACAGCAATAACCAGCAATCGGCGGACGTGCTGGCCTAACTGTATCAAATCTAGTTAGTTAGGACAATCTATCGTTGCGGTACCCGGTGTCTACCATTATCCAAATGTGTCATTTAGATGAAATCTCTTGTGGTTAGTTTCTGCTGATGCCCGTTTCGCCTAGAGCAACTTAAGCAAAGACACACTTGGTTCTACCGCTGCCTGTACGCACAGCATTTTTACCCAACTTTTAGTTACCAACATCGTTTTCCGTCAATTTACGTTTACATTGGAGAACTATAAGCCTGTTGCTGTGAATTATTAGAAAGTATACATAAATATTTGGGATTTCTGACAAGTATATAATAAATCCCGGAAGCGTCCCAGAAGTCTAAATCCAACCTGTGTAAAAATATAACTCACTGGAGTATGCACTGCTGCTTCAACGTCCGTTGAAAAGTCACCCACGGATGTTTGATAGCGAACGACGGGTAGCATCTTCAAATGGTCTTCGTTCGTGGCCAGCACCAGTATGTCGGATGTTCCACTCTTCCAAAATACTCCCACCTGTCCATAGCCGAAGTAGTCTGGATAAGAGATGCAGAACTATGAATAAGTTGAAGAGTTTTACTTACAAAATACAGAAACCTACAGAGCGCTAGAAGCCTAAGAACGAGAACACTGGTATATTCCAGAACTTTGTTAGATAGATGCAGTATTGCGATTTATAACCAATATTTTGTATATAACTTACCAGATGCATTCAGGACAGTCAAACCTAACGCAAAGATCTGGAAGTGTTGTATGAGTTTGGTGCTTCAAATTGACCAGAATAGGGTTTGTGCATACTATGATTACATTTAGGTATTAAAATAGATGATAGCCGAAAGCAAACAATTCATTTTGGTATTATACGGAGCCAGTTTACAAATTATGTGGTATGCCTGGCCATGGGTAGCTCCCAACAAAGGGTAGAGCGTACTTACCAGGTGGAGGATACGATCGATCATTAAGTAAAAGCGCTGACAATTGAAATAGAATTACTACTGATGAGTATTTCGTTCGAATCTGTATATTGTTACAATTGTCTCACCTTGACATCAATTAAAGTTGAATACAGCATATACAAGATAATGTTTTTAATCATAAGTGTAGTTTAATTTCGAAAAGCTGTTTGCAATTTTGTTGAAGTAATACGCTTCTAACTTTAACCATTACGGAGGCAGCACTGGTCAAGCAAACCTGGGTACTTCTACATCTCGGAGAGCACTGGGTATAAAATGCTTATCTAGAAGAAAATGGCTTAAGTACCTGGATTAAGTAATCAGTTTCCCTCCAGCTGTACCAACGGATGATGCGGATTTTTGCCTTACCGTGCAGGAGACTACATTTTCTTTAAGAAATACGGTGTTACCCGTGTTTTCTTTGTGTGCATTGTGCAACAATGCTTTGCTTTTGGTGTGTTTTTCCATTTGTATAAATTTGATGTGGAATTGCCAGCTGCTGAATCAGATCTCACTGGTTGGCCCAACTGCCTTCTGTGTTCACCATCTTGGATTTGTTCTACAGCAATCTAACCAGTGTCTGTTTGAGCATCAGCTTGACCGCCGGGTCTTGTATACAGCATATAAGTGTAGACATTGCAACGAACGACTTCCGCAGGTATGACAGTCGCATTGTCACTTACCGTTTGCCCACGGAAAGCTAAGCCCAAGGCTTCCGAAATAAACTTTCGATATGGCGTAGACGGCTGTGTAAAACTTGTGCAATTTAGAATAGAGTGCAGAAACTGCCGGAAACGCTTCCACGCTCGATGTGCTCGCCTTAGTCTCAACTAGACAAAATACTTAATATTACTACCGATATGCTGTGGTTCTGCACTAAGTGTACCTCTCTTCCACTCGTCAAATATATAGCTGTGTTTGCACAGAAGTGGATAGAATGACAAGTATTGTTGAGTAAGCAGCAGCCGTGATAGCTGTCCGACGTGAACCAGACAAATCCGTGCCACGAAGTCGATGCTCAACATCAAGCTCCAACTCAAAACAGTGTAGGATTACGGATGCAATTAGCAACCACGATACTAGCGGCTGTCAAAAAGATGCGTTCACCACATATTTTTCAACAGAAGCACCTGCGAGACTGAAGACTATTTAAGCTCCGACTAGATAAGCTTCTGTCATTGCTGCCCAAAAGACGGAGACATCTCCTATTGTAACCCCACCCCCTGCGAAACTAGTTACTACTACCAATAACACCACGGGAAGCAAGGCCCCATCACTTGTCCAACCGATGAAAGCAGCCACTGGCCACTCCAAAAAGGAGAACATGAAACACTACCATAATTCTGACTTTTATATGCTCTAATGTAACTGAATCCGGCGCGAACTCAGTAACACTTATGATATTATAAGACAAAAGGCAGTGGGATTCTCTGGGTTAAATAATAGGGGTTCAAGCTAAGCCAGTCAATATGATGTGTGTCGTCCGTCAGCAAAACTTCATACACTACGGTGAAATGCGGTTGCCCTAGGGAACACTTCAGTCAAATAATGATGCAGTGGCATTTCTCTTGTCAGACACTCTCCTCCGTATCACCACATACACTGTTCGTATATTGCCAGATGTTCCTTGGATGGAACGTCAGAAATGCAGACGAAATCCGGATGACTTCCGTTAAAAATAAGTCTCAACATCTAGCTTTGTTCACGGTGTCCACGAGCTCCAGTCACTAAAAATGCTTGAGGTCAAAGAGCATGTTTGGGATAAATGGCGTTTTATTCCTGATGTGCTCCGACTAGAAAACGTTATCGCAAATTCGATCTCAAGGTTACCACTATCACCTAACTACAATGGATGTGGTCCCCGAGTGATGCATGTATCACTGCAATCCGAACTTCTAGGAGAAAATGTGATCAAAATGTGACACAAAAAGCGCAAAATGCTTGCAGCCGAAATACGCATAAATGCAACAGGCACCGGGCCACAGATAGAGAAACACTGAGCAAGCAACTTACCACTACCATTGTCACCGTGTAGCTCAGAACGGAGGCAATGCTAAAACACACCGACAGCTGAAGGAAGACAGGATGGTCAACTTATTGTTAGCACTGAGAGCTCCATAAAACAAGCTGAACTGGCCCTAGAGTCTGCGTCATCGGTCCTGCAAGCAATCCAACGGCAGCCGACCCCGAAAGCGTCGGCATGAACACTCACCGGAAACGAACATTAACAAACACGATTATGAGCACCAATAACCCCACCTGCTTGTATACCAATGCAAACTGAACTTCGTATTCTTCAGGTCTCCAAGCCTTAGAACCTAGTTATGGTCACCGAAACATGGATGAACATGGAGATCACGGATTCTGAGATTGTACTACCCGGCATGACTTTCATATAACACGACAAAACTAGCAGATGAATGTGAGTACTCTTGTATTATCTATCTGGTCTGCAGACTGATACCACTGATAACCCCGAGACGAATGTCGTCCATTCCCCTTGGTGTCCTATGCACCTAAGACGTAGTGATGTGTGTTTACTAGCAATAGCTTACCGCCCACTAATGTCCACCTTGAAAATGGATCAATGCCTAGCTGGGCACGTCCATACGTCGTCTCCTTCGAATGGGGAACTTCAACCTGCACGTCATCACCGTTACATCATCATACAGTGAAACAATTCAAGACTGCTTTGCAATAGGTATTTGAGATTTAACTCAGTACAACCATGTCACTTATCTCACGCGATTCCGAACGGGTGACACTCCCTCTGTTTTGGACTTTGTGCTCTCCAACTAGGAACTACTGGTCGACTGCGTGGATATGGATTCAAATTTCGATCATCGCTGCCTTCGCCGCTTAGCTCATGCCTGGTGGGAGCACCGCGTGAGTACTGAGCGTGTTCGGCCTCGTTTATTTGGTGCAGGAAGAGCGAGTGAACCGCCCAGCGCCATTATATCACGCACCATGCTCCGATGGCTGGGCTACGTGTTGCGTATGCCAGTACACCGACTTCCGCGACGTGCATTGTTTGCGCGTTGTGGGTGCGGTTGGAAGAGAAGGAGTGGAGGCCAAGTGATGACTTGGTCGAGAGAAATGAAAACCCTCACTTCGAATTTGGCGTCGGTTGATTCATGCCGACTGCCTGACTTGGGTACTAAGAACGATGAACACGTTATTTTGGACGCACTTGGTGATATGGCGAATAGCCGGTCCCAGTGGCGTGTGTTGTGAGTTTCTTTATCCATCCCTCTCTCTTTTAGTTTCCTCCTCCAATTCCGATCTCACACGAAGGACATGGTATAATATTTAACGTTATATTATCTATTTTTGAATATTTTGTGGTGTAACTTCTCTATATCTTACTTTGTTTTATTGCGGAACATTAGTTGATGTGTGTTTCACCCTCAACTAACGTGTATTGATGATGATAGTCGCCATCTTAAATCTTTTCTCGGTGAGCTCGTTCTGTTAACTTCCTCATTCACTACTTTTCAACATATGAATTCCTCAGTTACCCTATATTTTTATTCACTTTCGCGATGAGGAATTTCTATGACAAGCCATTCACATCCATTGTTAATGATGTAGAATCAACTGCCATATGTTTGGGCGATTACTCCTTTATTGTGATTCGCGTACAACTGTAGAATCTATTCTGATTGCGCTATGTATAACCGGACTATTAGTTATCAGACATTCAGTTGGACGGTGCATCGTACTATTGAGGAATATACTGTTTACTTGTTTAGCTATCTACAGACTCCCGTGGAATATCCTCCCGGATGAAATGCTTTATTTCTTTCCCCCTTTGAAATATGAGAAACTGAGGCAGGCTATCAGTAAAAGAATGACATCTTCACACAAGATCTGCATGCAGGAATCCGTACTCAGGAGAAATGCGACAATTTCTCGGAACTTTCAACACTGACATTATGCTTCACCGCCAACTGTGGATCTCAGGTCTACCGGGCAGCACACAGTCCATCCTTATGGCCGCAAACATCTTGATACTCGCAGGAGTTGTAGACCTAACAGACCGCGTCGTCGAACAGCATCGACCATCAAAGGAAGTAAATGCGCTTATCCCACTTAGCGCCATTACAGACTCGGTGACTTTTGCGCCTAGCGTATTGTCAGCAATGGACAGTGTCGTCTCAGTTAGCAACAATTTAGCGCCAAGCCGAAAGACACTCAAGTTCTTGCGCACCACCGTTTGTCCAGGTTATCGTCCATTCGTCCGGTACCTAATGCACCGGGTTGCTGCTTTTCCCATTCGTATCTCGATGACAAAGCCCGGGAGTGTGCACGATCTTGTAAATTCTTCGTTGCGAAACAAGGAAAATTTCTAAACGCTCGATACTGGTGACTGACCGTCTCAACAACACCCCAAGTCGTCTCATCTATATTAGGGGTAATGGTTTCATGGACTCGGTTCACAGTTGATTCTAGGGAGTAAGTCAGCGTCATTACTCTCATCATGACTATATCTGA